CGTTTTAATAGAGTCTGTCTTCTACAATACGATGGCCCCCTCAAGTACCTTCATCTGCGGGTCCCAAGGCTCGGGGAAAAGCTATACATTGTCTTACCTGCTAAAAAATTATCTTACAAGCTCTGATGCTGCTGACCTTCAAAAACCACTCACAGCCTTGGTCTTTCACTATAATGCATTTATATTAGATGACGGTGGATCCCCATGTGAGGCGTAGAATTCAAGGCGACGGCAACAGCTGGCAGTAACAGGCCTTGAACCTTAAGGATTGGCAACGCAAATGCCTTGATTATTGGAAGCTGTACACGTTTGTATCTAATCTCCTCAGTTTCGGAGTCGGTGCAACACTGGCGGCCGGAATAAAATGCACCGTGCGTTTAACCCGAACGGTCATTTCAACATTAGCTTATGCTGCTGGATCTGATTTATTAAAAGGTCCAATTTTCAGGAGCGACCTGCCTGCGTTGCAGCCCTCTCCTATTTACATTTCGGGTATTTTTTTCAAAGCCATAACTTTCGACCTGTGTATCCTGCCATAACATCCTTTGTGTGTCTCAAAAAAACTTGAATAGAATTATTCTTTCATCATGTCTTCCCTCGCCTCGATTCTCGGCTTCGGGTCAAGCTCCGAGCCACGAGATATGGTGGCTACTTACCTCATCGTCAATGCGCTCTGGTCACACACCTTATCTTCTACTCGCGCTTTGAAGATGCTCTACAAAATGGACAATCACGTCAGCCCACGAACTGATCTCGACAAATTTGGGCCAAGAGCCGTCTTGGAGGGCAAAATTACTCAGGCGCAGCTTGATATGCTGAAGCGCAACGAAGCAGCTCACGCCAACTCGATGGAGCATTTTCCCATCTTCGCGACGGCCCTCATCTTGGCCAAGTTGGCAGGATTGCCGGCTGCTGACATCAATTCCGCGGGGTTTGCTTATACGGTTCTGCGTGTTGCATTTGTTGGAAATTACGTTTTGAGTATCACCATGGGCTGGGCGGCGCTGAGGCCCGTCTTTTGGTGGGCGAGCAATATCGTGTGCTTTAGGCTGATTTGGCGCGCTGGGAAGATGTTCAATGGTGTCGCGTAGTGATACCTTGTCAGATAATCAAATGATGTATAATATCATATAGTGATCTCATTTGGTCTGCAACACTGTTCCGTGTTATTTGTATACATATACGTCCAATTAATAAGCAATCTAAACCAAGTACTTTGCTTTCTCTCTCTCACCACTCTGATTTCTACCAGGTTTCGCAAAACGGTCGAATAGCAATCTCTGGTGTCATGCAAGAAATGTTTTGTGCATGAAGATGCCAGTAGCTGTTGGCGATCTGCAATGCAACAGGTTACCGGGCATCTATCTCGACTCCCAAGGACATTCTGTTGGATAAAACTGCCTCTGTTGATTGAACCACGCAAGCTTTTGCCACCAGAGTGGCAAGTGGCAACAGTAGTCGTCATACTGCTGCCCTTCAGGCAGCAGTATTCCGAAAGTATTAAATATCTTAATTTTCTAGGGTTTAGGAGGGGGAACAACAAGAATATTAATTTTATAAAGAAGCTTAATTAGTATAAGTCTTATAACGTGACACATTCACTTACCGCATCAGGATCCAGCTTTACATCCTAAGCTAAAAATAGCTTTAATAAGCTTATTAATAGTATCCAAATAACACTGTCGACTACTATATGGCCAACATTTACACCCTATAGCTTAAACTTAAGGGAGAGCGTTTATAATAATACTCTTAGTGCATGCTTAAAGACGGCAAATAACTGCATCTAAGCGTTTGCTTTTATAGCAGCTGTGGCGCCGGTAAAAATCAGCATAAAAATAAGTTTTATATTCCTTACAGTAAATAAAAGAAGAGATAAAGTAGCCTAAGCGAAAAGAAATGCGCCAGTCCTTTTGTTATTACTATTGGTTAGCAGCTTCGCGTAGTTGTTTTATACATTACTCACAAGCTGATATCAAGACTATAAGCCTGGTCATCCGAGATATTGGCTTGGAAGCTAGCAGTAATGCCTCCATCAACCTCTATTTACGAGACCAACTTGCTCGTAAATTTCGGTGACCTTGCCAAAAGTGCCACAAGATACTATTTAGTAAATCTCCTTGCAACGGCAGCACCAGTTCCTGCACCTGTTACAGGTCAGACTACAAGCCTAAACCAGCGGGAGTAATGCTGTTCATCCTTACCAACACCTGCGATAATAGCGAACGGTCGTTGATCCATCTATAATAGTTAACCAGATAAAGGCAACATAGATACTGACAAGCTTCCTTGGGGCAGTTGACGAAAGGCCGAGGACCTGATGAGTAATCTGCCCGACGGTCCGGTTACAATGTCGCGTGCGCCGTTCGTGATCAGACGAGCAATAGCAGGAAGATTAACGCATAGTGTTGCAGTGCGACCGCATCGGGATAAGCTCAACAGCTAAACAAGCCACTGGCGTTCTTGCCGAGGCAAATGTAGCGCTAGACGTTGTATTAGCAATTCTAGCGGTATCCAAGGCAGCCATAGTCTTATTCACAACTGTAGCAATTACGCAAGTTTTGCTTTTATAAGTTCTGCCTGTTGTCAAATGCAGCATTGGTAGCTAGATGGCTCGCTGCCCATCGTAGCACAAATAGCAAACCTACTCAGTGTCTGACCAATACAACTTGTCGTCTTGGCAAACCGGCAGAGAGATAGTCTTAACACGCTTAACACGTTATAATGGCATCAGCTTTCGTGTTCATCTTGGCTACCGGTAAGTTCTATTCTAAGCAGCTCTATAGTTCTAACGCTTATCGTCTATGCCTGCAGGTTCCCCGGACATTAATACAAAAGTTGCTCTAAAATTTGCGCCTCAGTACCCAATTACGTTTATTTATAATACCTAAGATAACCTAAAACCAACTATTAAAGCGGTCCAGGGCACAGGTGGCAAGATACTACTCTTTAAGGCCAACCTCTCTACCAAGAAGTACCTCCTAGAATTTATTACTGCTATAACTAAGAGCTTTAAGAAAAGATATACTATAATAATATTTTAATTATAAAATAAGCTAAGCTTATCACTTCCCTTCCTAGAGTAATCTAGTATGTATATTTATAAAATAGCTATATTACTAGTTACTAGTGCCTACGCGTTTACTTAATAATTTATACTATTACTCTTTAATCACGCTAATCGTATAGGTTACCCTCCTACTATAATTTTCACCAGATTATCAGGGATTTTAGCTTCTAATAAGATTATTAATAACACTCTAATTGCTTTATCCTAAAGCTTTAGGAGAGAATTTAAAAAAAAGGTATTTATATTAGCCATATTAAATTTAAGAAGGGCCTTAAAATACCTTTAAGTATAAACCAAGAAGCTAGAGATATTAGAATATTATCCGTGAGTTGCTCACAATAATTAAATCCTTATATGTTCTGATTGCTATATTATATCTACAAATTACTGAGATATTTTAGCATTTGCATACACAACCTTTGTCTTGTTTTAGTAATGAGATGACTATCTAGCTAAAATTGTGATTTACATTTGCTGTTACAGAATTACAAATGTCGGATAATGCCTTTGTAGGCTGGAGTCGCAGAGCTTGGTGCAATTACTGGATGTCAAAGCGTCGTGTCAGACAATTGAGGGTCACAAAAGATCGAGTAAAATGGCGCCGTAGGCGCCAATTGTATTAAATGAGAATTATCTGAGGAGCAAGAACTCTTTATACACAAAAGAAACCTTTGATAGTTTAGGTTGTTGCAGCTGCATGCCAGGCAGCTGCAACACTGTCTCAATTTTTCATGAGGTACAATTAGGGTAGGCCTGATATGCGACACACCCCCCAGCGTTGAGCGATCAAGTCAACGCTGCTTGAAGATATCAGCGTATCACACGGTCACACCCACCCGTAGGTTCATTACCATCTTATGTCACAGTCTTCTCTTCCAAGTTCGTCTCCCTTTTGATATCTATCAGGTTCAGCATTGAACGGAAGTGTTCGACCTTCGATCTCGACAAGGCTTTCGTCAAGCCGTCTGCTGGCATCTGGTCGGTCTGTAGGTATTCTACCAGAAACCTACCCTTCTTGAATTATTGCTTCAGCCACATGTTCTGAACATCAACGTGTCGCAGCTTCGTTGTGACTCTCTGGTTTTCCTCAACCACAAGTCGGATTGACTGAAGATTGTCATAGTATATCTTGAGAGGTCCAAGATCAAGAGAAATGTCCCTGAGCAGTCGGTCTACGGCGTAACTTTCCTTGGCTGTTCTCTCTAAGCTCAAGATTTCTGCCTCAGTTGTCGAAGTCGTAACTGTGTCCTGGAGTCCAGCCTTCCACACAACTGGTCCGTTGAAAAGTGTCATTACATATCCCTGCGACGACCGTCGGGTTTCAGCATCGTCCGCGAATGACGCATCACTTGCAATCACAAGTGCTTCTCCAACGTGCATCCCATAATAGACGATGGCAAGGAACTTTGTCGTGTAGAGATAGCGGATACATTGGTCAGCGGCAGCAAGATGCTCGGGTGATGGGTTTGTCAGGAACCTTGCAAGCTGTGTAGCTGCTCGTGCTATATCAGGCCTGGTCATGACTGCGATATACATCAGAGACCCAACTCCTTCCTGATATGCTTGAATCTCTTCCTTGGAAGCCTGTGTATCATGCTTAACAAGAGGAGTAGTCGTGATCGGAATCGATGATACTCGAAGCTTTGAGTCGCAGAGCTTGAACTTTCGCGCAATTTTGTCGACGTGGGCATCTTGACAGAGATAGATCTTCCGGCTTGGTCGATCTCTTATGACTCTGATGCCAAGATACCATTTAAATTCTTCTTCGCGAAGGTTGGACTTGCCTTGCAGATACTTGACAAGCTTGTCCACAGATTCCTTTTCTTGCGGCGGGCTGAGGATCAGGATATCATCGACATAGACAAGGACCAGAATTTTGCCGTCGGTGAAGACGCAGGGTTCCTCATCTGTACGGTCAATCCCTGCCTCCTTGAGTGCGTCCAGTGTGTCTAATAGTATTTCCGATATGGCAATACGTATTACCATATATTGATAAAATATTACTCCACCCCTTGCACGTTAGAGCTGTGTGGGTGCAAGGGGTAGAATTATCCAAAGGTTAAGAGTTCTTAGGCCAAGTAAGTAATTATTACAGCTATTATATTAGTTAGTAATCTAGTTAAGCTTTGAGCAGTTATATAATTTATTATGCAGAACTCTAGTCTATCTTATAAGGATTTTATGTAAGAACCTATTATTTTTTATAATATTAATCTTTTATTTTTATTTTTATTTTATTTAAAAAAAACTTATAAAAATAAATAATTATAATTAAATAATATATTTAATATTAAGCTTTTAAGTATTTTTATATAAAAAATAACTATATAATTAAAACTTATTTAAAAATTTTAATAAAAAAGGTTTATAATAATTATATTTTTAATAATATTTTATAATTTATAAATAATAATAATATAATATATAATTAAAAAAAACTAAGTATAAGTATAATAAATAGCTTTAATAAAAAAGTTTAAAAAACTAATTTATTAAAATATTTATATATATTTTTACTTTTAATTTTTATTTTTTATATTTTTTTATTATAATAAAATAGCTTTTATAATATAAATAAAAGCTAAAAAAAGTTATTAATTAAAAAGATATTAAGATTATTAAATAACTTATTATTTTTATTTAAAAAGGCCTTATAAAAATAATTATTAATTTATAATAACTAATATAATTCTAATATACTTTTTTTATTAATAATTAAGTACTTAATATTTTTTAGTTTCTTTTAAAGCTAGGTTTTATTAATAGCTAAAAAAAGCTTAAAGTTCTTATTAATTAAAAGGTATAATAAGGAATATAAGGTAGTACTTAATATCTAGTTTCTTATAATACTTATTAGTATAATATACTAAACTAATATCCCTCTCCTGGCGGTAATAGCTTAAAAGTACACAGAAAGTAAATTAATAAAATATAACTTTCTAGTATTACCTTTACTATTTATATAAAGTAATAACTAAAATAATTTCTAGGTTAGAAAGTAGTTTATTATTATATTATATACTAGGCGCTAATTTTAATTTAAAAAATTATAAGCTTTTAAAGCTAATAATTTATATTAAAATTATAATAGTTTATTATTTTATATT